ATCCAAAGACCATAATGCCAAAATATAGTTTACACAAAGGGAGCCTAACCAAGTGACAAACCGAGAGACATGGCCAGAGCTATCAGTAAGTAGTTTGCTAATGTCAGAATTCCTCAGGAGTGGATACACCATATCCTGTGACTGCTGGAGGTGAACAAGGAATGAAAAGACAGACATGGTTTTAAGAACTAAAAGGGCACGGCCCACCTATTAAGGGTCTCCTGCATATGATTTTTTTGAATGAGTTTATGTTTTTTGCTACTTTCTACAAATAAGAACTAACAGTTCCTCTACTCCTCCCGCAGAGAAGTCTATTTATAAGATAAAAAACAAATAAAACAGGAATGTCAAGCCCACTTTGGTTGGGACCCTTCTGGGTCATCAGAGGGATGTACATTGTGAACCCTCCGACATTAGTTGAAGAGATTGTGTTGTTTTAACTTGAAAAAAGATATCCTTTGTCAAGTGTTAATTAGTCATTTTTATTGGAGTTAAATAAGTGTTAAGATAAGAAAAAAACAAGCCTTGCTCTGTTTTCAGTTTCCTGAGATATAATTTCACTAGTTTAGAAGGTACTATACTGTCTTCCTGTACTTCTGAAAGACATGTACTTCTAATGTAAAAAAACAAACAGAAATACTCCTGAGGTACAGAACATCACAGGTGAACATCCAGCACCCCCATGTGCATCCTTATAATATGATTGTGTGGTGTCTAATGCAAAGTTTGTCATATCAGGTGTCATCAGAAGGCTCATGATGCACTGAGAATTGTTGTTATGGTAATGTTATTGTAATCATTGTTATAGTAATATTATAGGTTGTAATTTAATATATATAGTTATGAGGCTGAGAATATGTCCTCATGGCTTAAAGCAAGCCCAGGCAAAAACTCTCACAGAGCAGAGGGGCAGTTCACACCTCATCAGGGCATGTATGGGACAAACCCAGTCCAGCCTCACAGGAACAAAGGACATTGGCCTAAGCAACAACAAAGGATCTGTCGGACTCTCGAGTGAGTCACCCCTCCTTCCTTTGGTCAGGTTGGGACTGTGATGAGGTAATTCTCACCTGACTCTGAAGGGGGGAGCAAAGCCAAGAGGGAAGAAAGGACATGATAAAAGGGAAAGATGTTTGCCATGCTCTTCCTCTCTCTTCCACCTCCATCTACAGACATCACCACCAAGCGACTGAAGCGCTGATCAAAGGGGAGAGCCTGGCTGAAGGGCAACCAGCCAGCCTGTGGTGAGAAGCATCTAAGTTTGTAAGGGCATTGAAAGTGTTAAGATCAGCTTAGAATGCGTTTTGCTTTTATTTCATTTGACCAAATCCTTGTTATGCTTTGACTTATGATCACTTAAAATCTATCTTTCGTAGTTAATAAATTTGTTTGTTTGTTCTACCTGAAGCAGTGCACTTGGTTTGAAGCATGTCAGAGTCTCTCCTTGGGATAACAAGCCTGGTACATACCAATTTCTTTTTTAAACTGACAAACTCATATACGCTTGCAGCGTCCTGCAGGCATAATTGGACACTGCAAGACGGAGGTTCCTAGGGTTGTGTCTGGGACCAGAGATATTGGCTAGTGTTATTCTGTTGCAAGTAGCTGGGAGCAGCTTACATGCCAGAGGTTGTGCGTGAAGAGCCCAGGAGTGGGGGGTTCTCACAGCAGAGCAGAGTAAGGCTGGTTCCCAGAGTCAAGGATTGGAATGACCTAGCAGATCACCAGTCCAGATAACACCAGAGGGGAATGTCACAACACCTTTTTGACAAAATAATCAGGCCTTCTTACACATCATAAAGAAGAAAATGGGGGGGGGGGGGAGGGGAAAGAGGTGGAGGGTGGAGGCAAGCCCATATTCTCATTTGCAGGCCATCTTTAAGGCTTAATAAATGACTTGCTTTAAAAATGTCCTTTTCCCTTTGCAGTATTGTAGGTCCAAAATTCACTTGTTTTTAATACCTATATTTAGATCTGGCTACCACAATGAATATGTATTTTAAAAAATTTTAAGACAAATATAGATGCCAGTGTCTTTTGGCTCCAACTTTTTGCAAGTCAGGTGTACAAGAAACCCTTAAAAATATATGTATAGCCACTATTGGCCTATCAATCCAGAAGGCAGCTGAATCTTAGGGAGTCAGGGCCATAGGCGTTATCTCTATTCTGATTGTATTAGGGATGGGGTCACTGTGCTGGTGTGCAGACCCTGAGGGTGGGAGTTGCTCATTACCCCTTGGCATCAAACCACCTGGCCAACAAAGGAGCGGTGTTGATAGGCTATAGAAGATGCCTTCATACCTCAAGGATGGTTAGCACAATACAAAGCTCACCAGCTCTTAAGGTGTGTAAGAGGAGATAATAGAGACTTCTTTAGAATTTCTATGGGTAGGTCCCTACCAAATTCACGGCCATCAAAAACACATCACGGACTGTAAAATCTGATCTCCCACCATGAAATCTGGTCTTTTGTGCTTTTACCCTGTACTGTACAGATTTCACATGTGATACCAGCGTTTCTCAAATTGGGGGGTCTTGATCCAAAAGGCAGTTGCGTGTGGGGGGGGGGAGAAATGGTCACAAGGTTATTTGGGGGGGGGGTCCGCAGTATTGCCACTCTTACTTCTGTGCTGCCTTCAGAGCTGGGCAGCCAGAGAGCAGTGGCTGTTGGCCGGGTGCCCAGCTTTGAAGGGAGCACCATGCCAGTAGCAGCGCAGAAGTAAGGGTGGCAATGCTATACCATGGCACCCTTACTTCTGCGCTGCTGCCTTTAGAGCTAGGTGGCCGGAGAGTGGTGGCTACTGACTGATGGCCCAGCTCTGCAGGCAGCAGTGCAGAAGTGAGGGTGGCAATGCCATACCCATGCCCTCCTTACTTCTGTGCTGCTGCTGGTGGAGGCTTTGTCTTCAGAGCTGGGCTCCCAGCCAGCAGCCGCCACTGTCCAGCAGCCCATCTCTGAAGGTAGCACCATCGGCAGCAGCAGTGCAAGAGTAAGGGTAGCAGTACTGCATCCCCCTGCAATAAACTTGTGACCCCCCCCCCACACACACAATTCCTTTTTGGGTCAGGACCCCTACAGTTACAACACCATGCAATTTCAGATTTAAATAGCTGAAATCATGAAATTTACGATTTTTAAAATCCTAAGAACGTGAAATTGACCAAAATGGACTGTGAATTTCGTAAGGCCCTACCTATGGGTAAAGATCACCGCTCTACAGATTGATTGTAAATAGTAGGAAAGCCAGAAGAATCTTAATGATCAAACTTACAAGTGACAAACAATTTTAAACATAATTTACCCTTTGACCTGCTGACATTGGCAGTTTCTTCCATGCTTATTTAAATTTTATAGAATAATTTTCTTACTCCATAAACACAAAGCAGTCCAAAATTCAAAATATTGGGAAGTTTTAACACATTTATAACAATATTTTATAATGTGCTATTGTATGCCTTGGGCAGAAGTGTGTTTTCTTGAGATTTGTGGAGAAAGGGAGCCCCTCAAGAGGTGTGTGTGTATACATTCCTATAACTGCTAAGCATAATACCACCTGAAGAAGAGCTCCATGTAAGCTCAAAAGCGTGTCTTTCTCACCAACAGAAGTTGGTCCAATAAAATATATTGCCTGATCCACGCTGTATCTAAGCATAATACCACATCATCTGTGAAAGGAATAAAGAGTATTTGACAGCAATAGTGGTCAAGTTGTCCAGAGTTCTCTATTTAGACCTCATTCAGTTAACCCTACCGATGAAAACTTTTAGGCATACTAAACCTAGAAATTAAATGCTATAAACTCTGGTTCTTCTGCTAGCTGGACTCCTTTGATTCAATGCTTTTACAGGAGATTTTCCAAATAACTTTTAGGAAAACAGAACAAGAAGCTAGCATCATCTCCTGCACTGTCACTTAATTTAACCTAATTTTTTGGACAGCATAACACTAGAGTTGCATATTATGATGCTGACAGTTTTTGGTGGTGGAGGAGGGTAGGGGGAATTAATTGCAAAAGGGCACTTGGGTAACCTGCCTGATAATATACTGCAAATCCTTGTATGAATCCTGTTCATCTTCAAATTTATCTATTTATGTCAGACAAGAGAACATATGAGCACAGTGGCTGTTACTATAGCAATGAAACTCAAATGATTTTAAGAGAGAACAAAAATTCACCATTGCAAGAGATTCAGATCTGTAGTTAGGTGATTTAGAAGACAAAACAGCCTCTCAATTTCAGGATCTGGCTTAAAGTTTGTGCTTCTTGGAGAAATGAAACTGGTGATTCCTGCTTGTTCCATAATCCATAGTAAATACCACATGGCCATCACATATAATTCAGTATAATCTAGCGTATTTGAAATTTCTGCTAAGAAGTAGTGCAGAAATTGTCAATTACAGCTAATCACATCAGACCAAGGAAGGGGCATTCCCCTACGTGAGGTTTTTGTTAAAAAGGGGGGACAGGCGGTAGAGAAATAACTTATTGTGGTGGAATGTTCAGTACTTTGATTGTGCTTAAAAAACAGGATTTCAGTGCTTAATGCTGCAAGTCCCTTAACCTTCTCAATAAAAGATTTACCTAATATTTAAAAGATCTGATTAATCAATATGAGTAAAGAGGAGTGGTTTTTTTATACGGGTTACAGCTAACTAGTGACTGAACTGAAACCATAATTCTCACTCAAAAGGTAGTTTTCAAAAAGACCCTCCAAATTATTTAATCTTCCTGACCCCTTAATGTCTTGTATTCATTAATTTAATTGTCTTATATGCAGCTGCTGCTATATGGATACATTACTTGTAACAGATACATTTAAAACACAATTTTTCAAACAAGATATATTTAGAGGTCAGAGTTCCCGAATTAATCTTTTTTCCTCCCTCCTTCGTGTAAACGTAATAATGTAAGCCAAATATAAAAACATTTTAACACGAAACCAGGCTGCCCATGTAGACAATGAACAAAACACTTAAAGAGTTAAATGGCTTCATTTACCTGCTAGGGTGCCAGGCCTCTGTAGGGTAGCAGTGGCATATAGCTCCTGGGAATGCTTGCTGTACTGATCTGATGTGTGGACCAGCCGTTTGGTAGGAGACAGAGTAGCATAAGTGCCAATGGTGGAGCTTAGCTGATGTATAGGAGAGGAGGAAATATTAGACTGGATGGTGGGTGGAGACGTCACACGAATTGGGGAAGGAGAAAGTCCAGCTGAAGACACAACAATATTGATTGGTGAGCTGGTGCTGTAAGACTTGGCTAGCCGGCTTGGAGACTGCTTGGGAGAAGAGACCCGCTGCGTGGTGCTGTATCCAGCGCTCTCCGATGCTGAACCCACCCGCTGGAGCTTGGTTGGAGAGCCCACCTGCTGCATGGACAGCGGGGAGCTCACTCTCTGGGCTGGCAGAGTGGAGCTGGAGTAATAAAGTGTAGAAGAATGCTGGGAATCAGGCAAATGGAACGCGCTCCCATGGCTTGGCACAAAGGACTCTCTTGACTGAGAAGGTTCAGATCCAGCTAAATGGGCTGCTCGACTAGTTGTGCCCTGTACCGAGGAAAGAAAACAGAACCATCAGCAAGAGAGACAGAAAAGAAAAAGAGGAAAGGAGTTAAATATATTTTTAACCCAGCCTCAAAAATGTAACCACTCTGGTATAGAGAAAATTCAGTGCTACAGAAAAAAAACAAAACAAAACAAACAAAAACCCTTTTATGACCTTAATAAGGTTTGAAACAAATGCCTTTAGGATTAAGAGACTAATCTGCTAAAACATTTTTGTCCTTTAACAGAATATATTTCACAATTCAAGTCCACAACAGTAAAAAGTTCCCTTTACCATTCAAGTTGATATCTGGTTTAATGTATATTTTACTTTTATACAATTGTTGAATATTGTTATTAAACAGTTTCTTGTCCTGAAACACAATGAAATAGTTACAGTTTATCCACCAAAACATTTAGTCTGGAGATTTTTTTTAAACAGCATCATTTCAAACTTTTATTTTCTTTACACTCCCCATGTTAGCTCACTAAAAAAAAACAAAAAAAAAACCACAGGCGTTCAAGAAGCATTTTAGTTGACAAACTTTCTTCATTGAAAAGCAATTAACATCCTTGTTATAAGAGGAGACTAGCCAGAATAATATACTCCTCAGAATTTGCTGCTGCTGCCACCACACAGACTGATTTCTGCCATTTGAAATCAATAAATACATTTTTAAAAGAGATGTAGACTTTCACATCAGACTCTTGCAGTTGTAAAGGAATTATGCTTTCCAGTACAGAGAAATGCTGCAACTGAAACCGAAGATACGAAAAAAGCAGAACAAAAATGTCACCCTTCCTAGCGTGTGAAAACCCAGCTCCACATCTCTCTCTTTCTCTTCTCTCTCTCAGTGCCTGTGTGTGTGTGTGTCTTTTCTCTCTCTCTCTCCCCCTTTTTAAGAGCCCCCTGCAGCTGTGTCTTCAGAGAGAAAGGCAGTTGCTTCTTATTTATTTACAAGGCACAAAAGAAAAGGAGGGCAGGGGTGGAGCTGTGGAGGGGGTGGGTACTTTCCCTGAATCCCATCCAGAAAGAAATTTGCATTCGAATGAAAACAGTGCATTGCCAGCCACTTTTGCACAGGAGGTCTTAGATCTTCCTAGCAGCATGTAGTGCAGCACAAAGTTTTCCTTAAATCTTGTAATTTAGACAGAGGGAGAGAGAATACTCAGCAGATGCTACCTGTTAAAAATTTCAATTATGTGCCTGAGCCCCTTCTGGAACAGCAAAGAATAGAATGTATACTCTTATCTCCACAGCATTCCAATTTTTATCAGGGATCTTAGGCTCAAGAGATCATCTGTGGCTGTTAATCTGGTAACATTAAAATCCTCTAATAACAGCACCCTGGAGTGAGAGATAGCTGAGCATTCTGTTGCAAGACAGTCTCTTGTTTCAAATACATTCTCTCCCCCGTTTCCCCGCCCCCCCCCCAATCATGAAGAGGATTATTTGAAACCTTAAACAGTACTCCAAATCCTGGAAGTTGATAGTGCAATTTGAAACATTCCAATCAACGCTTTTTGGATTTTTTTTTAAATTCAGTCAAAAATGTATTTAGAAAAGAGATAGCTTTTTTTAAATACTGCAAATACTTTTATTTTAATATGTGAAACAATCCTAAATTCTCTAACGATGAACTTCAAAAATTGTATTGCTTTGTATATGTATTACTTTTATTAGTACACTGGCGGGCGGGGTGTTGTTTGTTTTTTAAATAATGTCCTGTATGCAAGCAAGTGAAACAAAAAAAGGAACCAATTTATCCCTGGTATACAACTCTATTTATTTTGACTCAATTGATTTCAGTGAGTTACCTTCTGGATGAATTTGGCCCATTGTACGAGGAAAGAAATAAAAGATGATCAGTACAAGTTGCTGTAAGCTTGCATTGTCTGTGAGCTCCCCTCCAGCAAAATCTTAGTTATTTTTACTTCTCTTGTATAGCTGGGGTCCTCCCCGGATTATGTGTGCTTTACTTAGTGTTGGGAAGAATATTCTAACATATTTTTATCTCGGTATTGGTAATAAGAGGGTATAAGCAATATTATCACACAAATCATGTGTTTCAAAGGACTTTTCAGCTTTGTACTTCAGAAAGGTAGTAGGCATAGTAGTTCATAGTAGAGTTGCTAACAAAGATAGTAGACTGTAAACAAAAATAAGACATTTCAAATCTCACATACACAGAGAACTGCTTTGTCTACACCCCAGTGGAGGATAATCCTCACAGGGGGAAAAAAGGTATGAGAATGGAAAACTCACTACACATAAATTACCTCTCCTCCCCTCATCTCTACTCATGGCAGCAAGATTGCTTGAAAGACTAAAGGACGCATAATTGAAATGGGGGGAATGGTCCTGGCCCGGAGGTTTTCCAGCCAGTACAGACTGCTGAAAGCTTTTGGGGGAGAGAAACCTTTTTGCTTTTAAACCTGTTAGCCTTGGAAAAGTTTAGAAATTAGCTTGTGTTTATCTGTTTATTTCTTTTGTTACCAACTCTGACTTTTATGCCTTATCACTTGTAAATCACTTAAAATCCATCTTTCTCTAATTAATAAACTTGTTTTATTGTTTTATCTGGATTCAGTGTGCATATGGATTGAAGTGCAAGGGGCACTTCTCTTGAGATAGCAAAGCCGGTGCGCACAATCATTCCCAATGTTGCAATGACAGACTATGAGCTTGCACTGTTCAGCAGTGCACTGTACAGTGCAATACACACATTCCTCGGGTGCAAGGCTGGGGCTGGGGATATATGGGTGTCACTCTGCATCTCTTCCTGGATGGCTGGGAGACCATTCATGTAAAAATCTGGGAGTGATTTTACTTGCTAGTGGCTGTGCATGAGCAGGCTAGGAATGGCTGATCTGACAGGAAAGCAGTGTAAAAGGCAGCCCAGGCTAGAGAATTAGGGAACTCAGCAGTTCAACAGTCCAGGTTGCACAGTAGGAAAGAAGAAGTGGGACCACAAAGCACTGAGGCTGGGGAGGAGATTAAAGATAATGTAGGTACGGCCCAGCACCTAAATGAATACTTTGCCTCAGGTTTTAAAAGGGTAATGAGGAGCTCAGGGGCAGTGGCAGGGTGGCTAATGGAGGCTAAATGATGATAAGTGAGTAAAAATGACCACATACAAGGTGGAAGCAAAATTCAAATGGCTTAATTGGACCAAACTGGGGAGCCTGGATAATCTCCATCCAATAATATTAAAGGAACTGGCACGTGACATTGCAAGCCCCATAGCAAGGATTTTTAATGAATCCACAAATTTGGGGGTTTTACCCTATGATTGGAGAATTAGAAAGAGAGAAACTATCTTTAAGAAAGGACCAAAAAAGTGATCTGGGAAACTACTGGCCCATTCATTCCACCTCACTTGTATGCAATGTCTTGGAACAAATTTTGAAAGAGAGAATAGCTAAGAACATAGAGATAAATTGGCATAAAATACAATATGGTTTTACAAAGGTTACATCGTGCCAGACCAACCGGATCTCTTTGTTTAAGAAGATAATTGATTTTCTAGACAAAGACAATGCAGAACCTCTAATCTACCTGGATTTCAGTAACACATTTGATACAGTTCCACATCGGAAATTACAGTTAAATTGGAGAGGAGGAAGATTTATACAAGAATCAAAAGGTGGGTAAGGAACTGATTAAAGGGAAGAATATAGTGGCTCATGATGAACTGTCAGACTAGAAAGAGGTTATTAATGGAGTTCCTCAAGGATCAGTCTTCAGACCAATCTTTAACATTTTCATTAATGATCTTGGCATGAAAAGTGGGATAGTGTGCTAATAAAATTTGTGGATGGTACAAACTTGGGAGGTATTGCCAACATGAAGGAGGATGGGAATATCCTACAATATTTGGACAATCTTAAAGACTGGAGTAATAGAAATGGGATAAAATCTACTAGTGCAAGGTAATCTACTAGTGCAAGGTAATCTATGCATGCACATAGGAACCAACAACAAGAATTTTTGCTATAAGCTGGGGACATATCAGTTGGAAGAGACAGAGGATGAGAAAGACCTGGGTGTATTGGTTGATCACAGGAAGAATATGAGCCACCAATGTGATGCACCTGTGAAAAAGGCTAATGCCACTCTAGAATGCATTAGTTGAGTTATTTCCAGTAGAGACAGGAAGTGTTATTATTATCACTATACACGGCACTGGTGAGATCTCAGCTGGAATACTGTGCGCAGTTCTGGTCTCCCGTTTTTAAGAAAGATGAATTCAGTTTGGAATAGGTGCAGAAAAGGGCTACTAGGATGATCAGAGGAATGGAGAACCTGCCTCACGAGAGGAAATTTAAGAGTTTGGCTAGTTTAGCCTAAAGATATGATAGCTTTCTACAAATACATCAAAGGGGTAACCAAAAAAAGCGAGGACTTATTTAAGTTAAGGGCCAATGTTAACATAAGAACAAATAGATAATATGGCCATCAATAAATGTAAGCTTGAAATTAGACAAAAGTTTCTATCCATCAGAGGACTGAAATTCTGGAAGAGCCTTCCAATAGGAGTAATGGGGCAAAAAATCTAATTTGCTTTAAGACTGAGCTTGATAGTTAACGGAGGGGATGGTACGATGACATTGCCTACAATGTATTATGGCCCATCTGCACCTGGTATTAGCAAATATCTCCAATGGCTGCAGATGGGACATTAGATGGGGAGGGCTTTGAGTCAGTATGGAGAATTATTTCCCAGGTATCTGGCTGGTGGGTCTTTCCCACATCCTCAAGGTCTAGCTGATCACAATATTTGGAGTCAGAAAGGAATTTTCTCTTGGTCAGATTGGCAGAGACCCTGGGTGTGTTTCTCTTTCTTGTAAAGCACGTGACACAGGTCACTTGCTGGTTTGAACTACAGTAAATGGTGGATTCTCTGTAACTTGAAGTCTTTAAATCTTTAACTCTTTTCAAGTCTTTAAAGATCTGAAGACTTTAGTAACTCAGCCAGAGGTTAAGGACCTACAACAGGAGT